CATGGTCCAGGTTCAGCTAGTTGTGGTCTAGGTAATGCTAGTCATGGTCTAGGAACAATTAGTCATGGTCCAGGTACAGCTAGTTGTGGTCTAGGTACAGATAGTCATGGTCTAGGTACAATTAGTCATGGTCCAGGTACAGCTAGTTGTGGTCCAGGTATGGCTAGTCATGTCCAGGTACCGCTAGTCGTGGTCTAGGTACCGTTAGTCTTGGTCCAGGTACCACTAGTAGTGGTCTAGGTACCGCTAGTTGTAGTCTAGGTACTGCTAGTCGTGGTCTAGGTACAGATAGTCATGGTCTAGGTATTGCTAGTCATGGTCTAGGTACCGATAGTCATGGTTTAGGTATAGATAGTCATGGTCTAGGTACAATTAGTCATGGTCTAGGTACAGATAGTCATGGTCTAGATACAGTTAGTCATGGTCTAGGTACAATAAGTCATGGTCTAGGTACAGATAGTCATGGTCTAGGTACAGATAGTTATGGGCTAGGTACAATTAGTCATGGTCTAGGTACAATAAGTCATGGTCTAGGTACAGATAGTCATGGTCTAGGTACAGATAGTCATGGTCTAGGTACAGATAGTCATGGTCTAGGTACAGATAGTCATGGTCTAGGTACAGATAGTCATGGTCTAGGTACAGATAGTCATGGTCTAGGTACAATTAGTCATGATCTAGGTACATATAGTCATGGTCTAGGTACAGATAGTCATGATCCAGGTACAAATAGTCATGGTTTAGGTACAGATAGTCATGGTCTAGGTACAGATAGTCATGGTCCAGGTACAGATAGTCATGGTTTAGGTACAGATAGTCATGGTCCAGGTACCGCTAGTCGTGGTCCAGATACCGCTAGTTGTGGTCCAGGTACAGCTAGTCATGTCCAGGTACAGCTAGTTGTGGTCCAGGTACGGCTAGTCGTGTCCAGGTACCGCTAGTCGTGGTCTAGGTACCGCTAGTCGTGGTCCAGGTGCGGCTAGTCGTGGTCCAGGTACCGCTAGTCGTGGTCTAGGTACCGCTAGTCGTGGTCCAGGTGCGGCTAGTCGTGGTCCAGGTACCGCTAGTCCTGGTCCAGGTACCGCTAGTCGTGGTCCAGGTACGGCTAGTCGTGGTCCAGGTACCGCTAGGCGTGGTCCAGGTACAGCTAGTCGTGGTCCAGGGACCGCTAGTCGTGGTCTAGGTACCGCTAGTCGTGGTCCAGGTGCGGCTAGTCGTGGTCCAGGTACCGCTAGTCGCGGTCCAGGTACAGCTAGTCGTGGTCTAGGTCCGGCTAGTCGTTGTCAAGGCAATGTCAGACGAGTAATGTCGGTCCTGGCCATCATCTTAACTCATAGGACAATGTGGAGTGTGGGGACATGCCCCAGAATCTCAAAGTTATATCGATAGTCATGGTCTAGGTACAATTAGTCATGGTCTAGGAACAGATAGTCATGGTTTAGGTACAGATAGTCATGGTCCAGGTACCGCTAGTCGTGGTCCAGATACCGCTAGGTGTGGTCCAGGTACAGCTAGTCATGTCCAGGGACAGCTAGTTGTGGTCCAGGTACGGCTAGTCGTGTCCAGGTACCGCTAGTCGTGGTCTAGGTACCGCTAGTCGTGGTCCAGGTGCGGCTAGTCGTGGTCCAGGTACCGCTAGTCCTGGTCCAGGTACAGCTAGTCGTGGTCCAGGTACGGCTAGTCGTGGTCCAGGGACCGCTAGTCGTGGTCTAGGTACCGCTAGTCGTGGTCCAGGTGCGGCTAGTCGTGGTCCAGGTACCGCTAGTCGTGGTCTAGGTACCGCTAGTCGTGGTCCAGGTACCGCTAGTCGTGGTCCAGGTACAGCTAGTCGTGGTCTAGGTCCTGCTAGTCGTTGTCAAGGCAATGTCAGACGGGTAATGTCGGTCCTGGCCATCATCTTAACTCATAGGACAATGTGGAGTGTGGGGACATGCCCCAGAATCTCAAAGTTATATCATGAAAAATAAATGGTGGACTTGATAATAAGCTAAAACAAGCAAATTCGAGGAATTTATATCCCCCGCTTGCAAGACATATTGTAGGTAAACATTATTGAGGTTAAGTTTAAACATGTGAGTATCATGCTGTTGAGACATAATGTATAGCTTGAAACTCGAAATAAAAAAAAAGCCTTATACCTCATTAATTTTCCGGATGTGCATACAGAATTTGGTTGAATATCTGCACAATATCTACAGAATGCAATGTGTGATATGGAAAACCACTTGTGTACTTTGTAAGCTCACTCTCCACTTCATCAATTTAAATTTGTATAATAATCTCTTGTACATGTATTACATGAGCATGTAATTGTTTGACATTTAACCTATGAGTCGGATAGCTCTCGGAAATAAAGAAACTGAACTGAAACAGAGGCTGTACCATTGTTCACAACTAACAGTGTACATTTCCTTCGTTGATGTACAGTGCTGTTTTGTGTAGGCTTGTGTGTGGCAAAGGGTTAAACACAATCTGTACTGACCTACTTCACTATCTATGTAAGTTATAATCAGTGTAAGTCTGTCGGTTACCTGTCGCTCCACAGGGAAGTTATTTACTATGTACAACAGGGAAGTTATTTACTAGATCTATGCAATGCAGCAGTGATGGGCGTATCCAACCTACTTTGAGTGAATCTATAAAGGCCTAAATATTTACCATTTTAAGTCCACCATCAATGTAGTCCTGAGTTAAGATACCCTTTTTAATTTTATCTATTTTACTATTCCATAAAAACTCCTATAGTAAACAGTTAAGTTTAGAAAGAAATTTTTCATCT